CAATTCCTTTCACATTTAGGCCTCTGTTGCATCTTGAGATGATATTTCTGTGGATGTCATCCTTTTTATTTTTGTTCCTTTTAAAAAATTTTTTTGTATTACTTTGTATTGTGATTTTTTTTAATGTATATTTAAATTTTTCAATTACAGTTGATATTCAAAATTGTATTAGTTTCAGGTGTACAGCATAATAGTTAGACATTTATATAACTTACAAACTGATCACCCCTATAAGTCTAGTATCCATCTGGCACCATACATAGGTATTGCAATATTATTGATTATATACCCCATGCTGTACTTTATGATATTATTTTAATTTTATTTTCCATATATTTATGGATATGCATATATATATATATATCCATAAATGTGCCCCAAACATTTATAGGTCTTGGGCAAGAGTAAAATGGAGACATGCATACATATGTCTAAATATTTACAAGTTATAAATCAAACTGACAAACTGCTAAATAAAATATAATCTATTCTTCTACCTTGAAAGGCTTCCTTTATAATGTCAAAATTGAAAAATATATTCAGAGTCACGTTTTTATGTGATTGATGTTTGGTAAATATCAAAGATGACTAAATTTAATTATTATTGGGCATATCTGGGTGTTCTGTTGATGGACATATTTGTATGAAGAAAAAAATAGATTCAGAATTCATAAACTATTATATATTTATTCCATAAAGTTAATTTTTAACTTTATTTTAGCTAAATCATCAATTTTATCTTATAATCAAGATTTTTACATAATTTGTCTTCTGACAGTAATGATCTCAAGAATTAAAAATAAAATGTAACTATAGTGAAAATGAACAAAATATGAATATATTTTTATCAAAACTTTCAGGTGTTTTCTAAAAATCATTCTTCTAAAGTGTCCAGTATCACCTATTGAAAATTTAAAAAAAGTATATTTAATAAACATAAAATTTGTTAATTAAATTATTTAAACAAATTGGTCACTTGAAATTTGATTTTCTTGAAAAAATCAATGAAATATTTAATATTTCCATACAAAAATTTTTACAATTGTAACTTTCAATGTCAATTATTTGCCAGTATAAAGAATCAGTACCACATTTCACCCATGTTATGTCTAACCCACAGAGATAGAAATTCAACAGGAATTTGAATTAATATTGCAAAAATATTCCAAGCTGTTTTGAGCAATTGCTGTAAATACCTTACCAACAGCCGGTGCCTCCAAAACAGGATTTGAAACATAAAGAGAAGCAGAGAATAGATGCTTGGTGCTGCTGAAAAATGATGTTTTGTTACATAAGAATTTGTTACATTTCTGCCATCTGAAAGGAAGGGTTCCAGAGGTAATAAATTTGTCCTGTCTGGTACCCAAGTGTTACTGCTACTCACATCCTCCTTGCACTTTGAAGCATTAAGTCTCAGATGTTGGGACTAACAGAACCCCCCAAACCTCACTGCAGTAGCCCTTGTACACTGAAAATTAACTGATGTTTATCCATGTGGCCAAGTTAATTTACTTTGTACAGACCTCAGAATAAACCTTGACCTCGGTCTTACTGTAAAAAGCCCAATTGTTACACATAAAGGGCACGTCTTCAAGGGCTGTGTGAGTTGTGCCCTGAACAACCCTACGGGGCACTATTCATACGGTAGTAAGTTTGTACATTTTTTATTTTTATTTTTTAAAGATTTTAATTATTTATTTTAGAGAGAGGGGAGGGAGAAAGAGAGGGAGAGAAACATTGATGTGTGAGAGAAACACCGACTGGTTGCCTCTCGTGTGCCCCCAGCTGGGGACCTGGCCCACAACCCAGTCATGTGCCCTGACGGGGGTGTGGAACCAGAGACCTTCCAGTTCACAGGCTGATGCTCAGCCTAGTGAGCCACACCTGTCAGGGCTATACACTTTTTAATGATAGTTTTCCAGCAGATGGCAGTAAGTTGTCCAGAAGAAAGCCTTAAAAAAATTCCCACAGAGGTGTTATATGGGCTAGCAACAGTGTTGGGTTATTCTTCTCCCAGAGGAAACATCTGTTAAAAATTTGAGGTTGTCCTTCTAGACCATGTGTTTACATAGATAAATATATGTATATATAAAAACAACATATTTTATGTTTAAAATTTTTTATATAAACACTAGCCCACTGTATTATGTTCTTTAAATTTTTTTTAATAGTTATTGATTTTAGAGAGAAAGATGAAGGAAGAGAGAGAGAAACATTGATTTATTGTTCCACTTATCTATGCATTCATTGGTTGCTTCTTGTATGTGCCCTGACCAGACATGGAACCTGAAAACGTGGTGTATCGTGACGATGCTCTAACCAAGTGAGCTACCTGGACAGGGCCCACTGTGTTATTCTCAATTTTGCTTTTTTTCATGGAATATGTCTTAAAGATCTTTCGCTGTGAATACACACAGACTTCCTCCATTGTTTGATTTGATGCACAGCATTCCATGCTATCCATGTATTATAGACTATTTAAACATATTGGTGGACGCTATGACAAACAAGGCTGCAATTCTTATCCTTGTACATATTCCCATACTCACATATGTACGGGTTTCCGTAGGGGACATGCTGAGAAATGGTATTGCTGACTTATAGGGTACACACAATTTTAGTTTTGATAAGACACTACCACATTGTTCTCCAAAACTGCTTTCCCATTTATATTCTCATGAACACAGCATGAAAATACTTATTGTCAGCATGAAAGACTGTTAGTGAAAAATTTTTTACTACGCTCACCATTGAAACATGGATTCTCCTTTTAGGATTTATTAGCTCTTTCTTGTTCCTCTTTTGTGAATTGTCTGTTCATATCTTTAGTGTTTGTCTCTCACTTTATTTATGTATTTTTGAAGATGCTCTTTTAATATTTGAAAGGCTTGGGAGGATATAGAGTACCCTCACCAAAGTGTATCCTTTCAGAGATACTTTTTACATATATGGAGACTGATTTTTTTAAAAAATTAGGCTTGTGCATGTCCACTCATAGAAAAATTTTATAATGGAGTGTAAGCATATTCTCTTCTGCAAGAGTTGTCATAATGAAACTTGGATATTAGGCAAGCATTTGTTCAGGAAAGATGAGATATCCATTAGAGACAACATTGAAGTAATATTTATGAAGCTCTTTCTTACTCTGCTGCGGTACTGGGATAAGATATTTACATACTTTATCTCCCAACTCCAGACCTGTTGGGTAGGTACAATTTCTCATATAGGAAAACTGAGGCTTGGAGAGATGAAGTCAAGCAGAAGCTTTGGGATTAGGATGGAGCTTTTGGCTCTGAAGCCTGAACAACTGCTTTCTACCACTGCCCCATCGCTATTGACTGTAATGTGCCCCTGCTCCAGAACCAGCACCATGTGTATAAAATAGAGGCTACAATAAAAGCAGAACAGGAACCCCCTGCCCCCACGCCTGTGTTCCGTGTAAGAGGATAACCTCTCCATCAGCCTTGTTCTTTGGTTGACTATGGGTGCTAACTAAACCATACTATAATTTATATCAAAGACCTAGAAATCAGATGACTTAAGACTAGACTTATGTTCAAGATACGTTCAGTAATGTTAAACTTTGTTTTTGGTCAGTTTTAAGCAACCAGTTTATTATTTTTATTTTGTAGTAATAAAATTAAATTTGCCATTGAAATCAATGCTTTTAAAATCCTGCAGCATATGATAATTTGAAGCTTTTATGGGGTTTACAAATTTTTAAGGGAATGAAGCTATTTTAATAAAGCAGAATGAAGAGGATATCAAGTTGTGATAATAAAAGTATAACAAAGTTTATCGAGCACTTACTATGCATCCAGCCTAGTTCCAAGAGCTTTACCTGAGTTATTTCACTTAACCCGCACAACAACCCTCTGAGGCTGGCGTTCTTACTAACATCCCAGTTTTTCAGGTGGGCCTGGGATGGCCCTTAGTGATAATCGACAGCCAGTTATATTTAAAGAGAAAATTCGTGCTTGAAAAGTGAAATATTGGGTTACGTTTATCCTGCCATGTAGCTACCAACTAGCAATTTCAGTGGCTATAGTCATAAGTCGCTAAATGACGGGAGCGCATTGATAAACGTGTCATTCGACGATTTCATAGCTGTGTAAATGTCCTAGTGTATTTAGACAAACCTAGATGGTATAACCTGCTACGCACGTATGCTGTATGATATATACTATTGTTCCAAGGCTACAAGCCTGTATTGCATGTTACTGTGCAAAACAATACGAGATTAAATCAAGCACAAGAGAATGTCGATGTATGAGGCTGCCACATACTATTTTACAGCAAACTTTTTTTTAATAAGTAGAAAGAGTACATTCTAAAATAATGATAAAGAGTATATATAGTAAATACATAAACCAGTAACACAGTAATTTATTTTCCATGCAAACAGATGGGTCAGATGCCGCCAAAGGTGCCATTTTGGAAATGATTTATTAATTAAGGTTACTTGACAGAGCTCCTTTATTTTCTCCTAAGTTTTATTATGAAAGATTTTAAACAGAAAAGTTGAAAGACTATTATAGTACACACCCATATGCCCTCCACCTAGATTCCACCGCTAACATTCTATCATTCTTGTTTATCACATAGTCTATCCATCCCTCTTCCCCGCCATCAATCCTCTCCATAATTAAGGGGGGCAGGTGTTTAGCAAGCTCAAAGGGGCTTCCAGCGGTGATTCCAAAGGATGCCACTTGCACACATCTTAACCGCAGCATTCCGGGCTAGCTAGGTTATTTTCCCCCTTGCCTGATTTCAGGGACCCGGGAGGCGGAATCCGGGCTTCGAGGAGCCGGCGCCCTCCTGCGGCTGCACCGCTCGCTGCAGAGGGCCCAGGGTCCGCCTCATCTCCCGCGGGCAGGCAGGAGGGCGGGGCGCAACCGGCGACAGGGAGCCACACCTGGGCTGGGCGGTGCGGTGGCCGGGCCCGGACAGCGGAAGCCAGTGGCCAGGCGGAGGGCACTGAGCGCGGGCGCGGGACCGCTACGTGCGCGGGGAGCGCGGGGCTGCTCTCGGGTGCGCTCCTGGGCGCTCGCCACCGCCGCTGCTGCGCCTTTGAGTCAGCAAACTCCGCTGCCCGCGGGCCCTCCCCTGCTTGACTGCCTGGAGCTGCTGCGCGTAAGTGACAGGAGAGCTGCCGGGCAGGCCTCCACGCGCTGCCGGGTGGGGACCACAGCCAGGGGGCGAGTCTTCTGCCCTTGCCTTTCCGGAGGCGTGGGGCTCTTCCCGGTGAGCCCAGGTGCCGCTCGCCGCGGTCTGGGTCGCCTGGGTTAGGAGCTGGGGAAGTGCCTCCTCTCCATCGGAGATGTGCAGGGGCGTAAGACGTGGTCTTTTGGCAGGGGAGGGCTCGGAACGCATTGACCCAGGGATTCGCGGCTGAAAAGAGGAGAGGGTGGCACAGAGGTGAATCCTGGATGCCAGAAAAAGTGCTGTGGCACCTCACTCCAGGCCGGGTTTGGGTCCCCCCCCCCCCACAAATTCATGAAAGGGTAGCTTTGCATTTAGGCACTGGGAGGGGTAGCAGGGTTTGTTTGTTTGTTTGTTTTTTCGTGGAATTGTGGGATTGAGAGAAAATCCACGTTGACTGAAAACCAGGTTTGGTGCCACCGGAGAGCAACAGCCTGTTTTTCAGTTCTGATGCATCCTACTTATGTTAAGATTATACACGGGTAATTGAGGGGAATGGACATGGGACTTAGAGCAACATGTCTTGATTGCAAGTGTTAAAAAAATTCAACTGAGTACATTTTAAAGATCTTATTGACTGTATTCGATGATTCATGAATTAGGCAGCATCCATATAGCAGAGAGAAAGGAGCTCCCAGGAGCTGTACAAAATGGAAGACTTTTGTAGGCCGAAGGGAGCGGACGTGGAACTTACAGTAGCAAAAATCGGATTGGATGTGGGAAGGTCACCTTCCTTAGGGGAAGGCAGGGTCTATCAAGCAGATTACCTCACTTGTAATTCCAGATTGACTGATTTAAGATTCTACTCCTCGTAGGGGCTGAAACTGTAATTAAATTAGGTATTGGCACCCTGGCCAGTGGCTCAGCTGGTTGGAGAACTGACTGGAACACCAAAAGGTTTTGGGTTTGATCCCTGGTCAGGGCACATATCTGGGTTGCGGGCCTTGATATCTGGTTGGGGTGCTTATGGGAGGCAATATGTCGATGTTTCTTATTACATCAATTCCCACACCCCCCACACCTCTCTCTGTAAAATCAGTAAAAACATATCCTTGGGTGAGTTTTTAAAAAGTAAGTAAATTAGGTACTGTCTTGGTTTGGTGATGTGGGGGTCAGCAAGAGTGACTGCTTTCTGGGCCTGTTGTCTCCTTTTTTAACAAAACGAAGGGCTTGCATTTCGGCAAGGAACGATTCCATGTAAGAATATTGGAATTAGAAATTTAGAGCAGGTAGGAGGCTTTCATGCGATCTCATTCAAACCTTTCATTTTAGGAACAGGGTAATTAAGGCCCGGGGAGGGGAGCCATGCAGCCGGACGGGAGTAGAAACAGGCCTGGATCCCTGTTGGCTGCTGACTCCTACTGCAGCGTCCTCTCCACCCTTTGAGGGTGTGAGGTGGGTGTAGGCTTGGGATGTACAAACTCCCTTTATTCTCCGGGGCCAGAGGGGGTGATGTGGAAGCCACTAGTGAGGACTGACTTCTCCATCCATTGACCATGCTTAGCTGGGGCCCCTCAGTCCGAGAATAGAGGTGAGATGAGATGTCCCTGCTGCTTCTGCCATTGTATCCAATGAGGCCTACTCCTGAGGGTATTTTTCTTTTTTTTTAAGGCATGGGGCTGCTTTGAATAAAGGTACAAAAATAAATATATCTAGAAGTAAATAATATATGATGATGTGAAGTAGTATGGTTAGCACCGACTTGTGTTTAACAGGATCATGTTGTTTCTTCTGCCCTTCTATTTCATTCTCATTTTTGAGGTTACTATTTCCCCAAGGTGAGGAAATTGGTGTTGGAAGAGTGGGGACCCATTCAGGTGACAGTGCTCCTCACGAGGGCTCTTTCTTTTTTTCTTTTTATTGAATTTATTGGGGTGACAACCAGAGTTTTCTTGACTGGGACCGTCTGCTTCTCTTCACACCACGCTGGACCGTGGTGTGAACTCCTCTTGTTTTACTTATGGGAAGACCTCCTGGAGCTTGATATCCAAAAATAGAGTTAGAAATAAACACCATTCTTTTCCAAATAAAAGTGTATGAATTAAAGACTAATGTCTGTGGTCTGTAGCAGCAGTTGGATGTGATTCTGGAGCACTCTTGATGTCCTTCCTCAGCCTTAAGACTTATTCCACTTTCGTTTTGAAGGGTTCACTTGGTTAGGTAAGCTGTTTTGGGAAATGGCTTCTTTTTCTCATTTAGGCTGTGGTTTAACAACCACTTGTAAAGGGCAAGGTCCAGCCTTTGCAGTCTTTCATTTCTAAGCGTGGCAAAGAAGGGCTTTGGGCCAAAGTCATGGCTGACCTCCGTGGAGAATACCCTGAAGTTTGGACTGTTATCTGCGACCTCTTTCTTTCTCTTAGTAATCCAGTAGGTAATAATCACCTCTTTTTGTTCTCTAAACCCTGTTCAGATAGGATGTACTTGGTAGTCGTTACAACTTCTGGTTTCAGATTCATCAGAGTTGAAATATTGGCACAGTCATTTGCTAGTTGAGGTGTTATCGACAATGTACTTAACCTAAGCCTGTTTTATCCTTTATCCAGAAATAAATGAATGATAATCCTTGTCCCCCGGAATTGTTAATAACAAGAGCTGAAATTTATTGAACACTTGTGGTATGCCAGGCAATGTGAAGAGTTTCTATGTGGCATTCTCATTAATCCTCACAATGAACTTATGAAGCAGCTTCAGTTTAAACTGGGGAAACTAAGGCGTCATGATATTTATAACTACCCAGAATTCTTCAGCTCACGGTTTTAACCACCCAGCAAATGTGTCCCAGATTTCTGTAATAGCTAATAATCATTTAAGGCTGAGTGTGTGCTAGGCCCTGCTTCAGCTACCCTATATTAACAATACTTGAGATAAGTACTGTTTTTAGCCTTCTTGCCTTTATATTACAGATGAAGAAACTGAGGCACAGAGCCTAAGTCAGACAAGTAGTAAATGATGGAGCCAAGATTTAAACGGGCAGTCTGGTCCTGGAGTAGGTACTCTCAGCAATTGCCCTATGAATACAGGCAAAGGGCTTAGCCAGGTCTCAGTCAAAGGCAACTCTTAAATGGCATTTTTATTTTTCCCTAGTAACCAGTCCCTCCTCCCAATCTCTGCAGAACAGATGCTTTTAGTTCTGTAAATGATTCAACTGTGCCTAAGGTTTTGTGATTCTGTATACATTTCTGCTGTATTCTCTGGTATTTTTAAAACCTTGTGGTAGGTCTCAGTGATCTTGACTCTGGAAACACAGAGATAGGCTTTAGGGATCCTGTGAACCCTCTGAAAATGTATGATTTCATACCCATGTGTAAAGGGGGCATTATTCTGGGGGAGAGAATCCATTAAAAACAACAAAGAAACTGTTTTTGCTTAGGTTGATAACATCCACTGTTGGTGAGGGTATGGGAAAATAGATTGCCACCATATATTTTGTGGGGAGTGTACGTTCATACAACCTTTTGGAAAGGCAGTTTGGCAGTGTTTAGAACATTAAACATTTTGCATTCTTTCTGATGCATCATTTCCATATCTAGGACTTTATTCCTCAGAAATACTTGTCTACTTGAATAAAGGAGGAAGTTGTGATAAACAAGCTGATGCAGAGAAGGCCCATTATATATTTAACCAACAAAAGCAACATGCAGAACAGTAAGTATAGTATGATCTAATTAAAAAAAAAATAGATGCCTATTTTTTTAAAAAAAATTTTTAAAATTTAATTACTGTTAGAGAGAGGGGAAGGAAGGGAGAAAGAGAAGGAGAGAAACATCATTTCATTGCCTCTCACATGCCCCCAACTGGGGACCTGACCCACAACCCAAGTTTGTGCCCTGACCAGGAATCAAAACAGCAACCTTTTGGTTTTCAGACTTCCCCTCAATCCACTAAGCCACACCAGCCAGGGTGATAGATACCTATTTTTTCAAACTTGTAAGTTTTGAAATAAATTTAAACTTATAAAAATAGTACCCAAATAATAAGTCTCTTATTTTAAAGAATAATGGGTATGTAGTACTAAAAAGAAATTGCAATACTGAAGAATGCCTGTGATAAAAAAATGACATAAATGACTTAAAATGACATAAATGCCTGGGTAGGGGATGGTCTTTGCTGTGTGGAGGACCCAGTCCTCTGGATTTCCAGGCAAGTATTCCCAGCTGCCTTTCTTGCTACTTTTCCCAAAGATTTGCCCCAGCCTCCACTCCTGAAGGCAGGAATGTTATATAGCAAGAAAATTGCTCAATCCAGAGGTCCATTTACCCTAGATTATGTGGTTGTTAAGGGTTTTAAAAATTTAGCTTCATCTCTCTCAATTTAGTTTTGTTTTGTGGGTGCAGTGCAAAACTAGTTCTGCTACCCTTTCACTGGGATTTTCTTGGCATTTCCCTTCCTCCAGTAGGTGTCTAACCTGGGCTTTCTGACTTTGACAGTCAAGATCTTATATAATCCACCTGTGTAGTTAAAAACGTATACTATAGCCCTGGCCAGTGTGGCTCAGTTTGTTGGGCATTATCCTATAAACCGAAGGTTGCCGGTTTGTACTCCTGGTCCGGGCACATGCTGGGGTTACAGATTTGGTCCCTTGACATGGTGCAGGAGGCAACCGATTGATGTTTCTGTCTCACATTGATGTTTCTTGCCCTCTTTTTCCCCCTCTCTTCCCCTTTCTCTGGAGTCAATAAAAGAAAAACAAGTTAAAAAAACATACATTCTTTTGCACTCAAAAAAATATGGTTCAATGCGCTTTCCCTTTTCCCTTTTCCTTCTGCCAGGACAGTCCCTTTGCCTTTCTCTCTCCTTGGCTCCAAGAACCCTTCTTCTGCCCCTGTAACTTGCTTTCTGAGCCTGCGCAGCTCAGCTGACTTGCTTCTACTACCTCTGTGACTTTCTAAATAAACTTTCTCTTATAACTTGGAAAAAAAAAAGAAAAGAAA